TATACCTGATATATCAACCAAGTTGAAAAACTGTTGCGGTAGGAAACTTTGAAGATACAACTAGAGAGACTCAGATATAGATGGGATGATAATATTAAAACTGATTTTTTAGAAGAGAGTCTGAAGAAGTACAATGGACGAAAACAACTTTTAATTAGCAGGAACATAATTTGAATTCCTTTATCCATCAAACAATGCACAAGAAATAAACGAATATTACACAAGAGGTACTCAGGGAGTTTGTATATTCGCTCCTTGTATCCCTGATTCCACTTCGATTCCAACAGCCAGATGACTTATCCAACTGTGGTCGTTAATTGTAATCGATACATTACACTTCCTCAATCAAATTCCTGGCAACTGACACCCTATATCTGCATAGAACCGATCTCCCACTGAAGTTCCCCCTATCACTTGGAAATACAAAGCACTCTCGCTCAACCGGCGTAGACAGGACAGACTGACGGGGCAGTTAATCGTAAAGCGGCTTATTCGAAAACATTCTTCGCTTCCAGATGCAATGAAAAGTAACAAGAATGCAGCACAGAATGAGAAATCATCAATGGCATCTTACTAGGAATAAATTATTAATTGCAGGTAAACAATACACTAATATTCTTAAAATATCAGTGAAATTATCGTAAACTAAATTATTAAATTTAATTAATATAGTAGTAAGCTGCTGCTGATAATTATGATTAATTAACAGATAAACAGGTAAAAATACGTATAATACTGAAAATTCAAAGGACAATAAATAACTACGCCTAAGTCGATGTTTGCTAGTCAAATGTAATTCTGTCCTCTGATGATTGAGGCAGCAAGGACGTCCAAAACGTCGGCAAACTTCTACCAGACTACATCGCGCAAGAAGACAATCATCTTCAGCTTAATATCGTTTCGACCCACTGACCGCGGCGAGAAGGAAGCCAGGATAGGCAAAGGAAGAAGTCTATGGAAAAATCTTACCAGAAGAAGAGATAGGATGGCGGGACACATTTTGAAGCACCCGGGATTTCTTAATTTGGTGCATTTTCCCTGCATTCCTGATGGTCCATAGCCCCTTTATACCAATTTCGTATTCCCATGATTTTCATATCTTCTTCAGTCTCATCTCTCCGTCTCTTTCTTGGTCTATCGCTCTTCCTTCTTCCTTTATGTCAACGCCATCTTTCAGAGATTTTATAAATGTTACAATATAATACATCCTCTGTCTCCTTATTAGTTTTGTTTCACAGCTTTCTCCTTCATTTATGGGACCACAGATTTTTCTAATCATTCTTCTATCAAACATTCTAAGGGCCTTAATTTCTTCTGAAGTCACCGTCCAAGAACACTGGGGTTCCGATAATCAAAAATCGATATTAAGTCGCTTCAAGGATATGTAACACTACTTCGCATTGTTTTGTTCTTTTCAAGTATTATGAATATAGTGTGTAGTTTTACATTCAACCAAAGGGAAGCGGTGAGACAAATGCTTAAAACTATGATCTGTTAAGCTGATTCTGTGTTAGATTTTATCTCGGAAACATGCTTCGAGTTTCCCAATTGATCAGAGCTGTCCCATTTTTCTATTACTCTGTCTGTACCTTATCTAAATTCAAGTCCTAGTTTTGTGTATTTTGTAGTAATATTTTGTGCCTATTCATTAAAATACTTAAAAGTACCGTACAAAGCACTGTGAATAAATAAATACGTCTGTTAACTGAAAGCTTAGTCTGTTTCTTCATGGCATTTGAAAAGGTTGGTACTTCCCCAGGCACATGGCACAATTACCCGGTATATTGGGGAAACTCGGCCAAATTTGCTTGTGCAATTTCTTTAAAATATCACACGTAGATCAGAAATCGATACAAAATTTTCAGTGTGTTAACATCGTAATGAAGTTTTTCTAAACGATGTTAATGTAGCAAGTATATTTACTCTTCCCCTAATCCCATGAATACGGTTTCGTAACTCGAAAGATGTCGCCATAAGTGGATTTATTTAATACAAGACGCAAGGTGAAACTGCTATGTGTTGATGGATGGTAAAATTAAACGTCTGTAAAGTAACTAATTTCAATAAGACTTCTTGTGCAGAAAAAATAAATTCCCTTGTTTGCTGCAAACAATATTTCTCTTTTTTTTAGCTCCTACAACAATTCCTAGTTTTCTACATAATCTTCGTAAGGAAATTAATTAAAATTAATGTGTTCGTCGTGGTTGTAATCAACTGGAAACTACTGATTTTCTCTGTGTTTGTACTCGTAATCGCTTGCATTCGGTAGGTTCTTGATGACACAAGTCGACGGATAGGTTTTCGAAAAATTCATGTCTGCCATCTGGTGCCTGCAATTTGAAATATTAAAAGTGAAAACAAGCCCTCTTTCATCGTTCATCAGTATTATCTACACTCAAGACAATTTTTATCACATTTCACTGACACAGTTATAGAAATTATGTAGCTCAACATGAGATGATGTAACTATCGAAGGAATGCGTCTTCTACCATAAATAATTTATTTAATATAAATTTAATAGAAACTTAATTTGAATGTCGGTGCATTTATTTAAAGAAATTATCCATTTTCTTAAAAATACATATATATTTACTTTTGGGTTTCTAAAATATCAGAGATTTCGGTGTAGAATAAGTATAAAAGAATTATCTTTGCTAGTCCTAAAATGTTTTGAACTAAAATTATCCATGTCTGATGGGCTGGATCTGTCTTTGGATTGAATGGGAAACTGCTAGAAGTTAAGAGCACAGCTTCTAACCAAATGTCGTTGCTTATAATTTGTTTCTGGACAATCTAATCAAAAATTCCCCCAGTGCACGATTGCCACATATTTCAGAACAGTTCCCACGTGATCTTTCTTTCACTCATGCACATAGATTCCCGGCCAACGTTCTCTTATAACGTTATACATTTTATTACATAAAAGTGGAGGGAGAGATTACCTCTATTTTAGGACCCTGTCAAATGACTTGTGTTCTGCGCAAGCTACGTTTGGTACACTTTATTAAACCATTACCTTCGGTCAGAATAATAACTTAAATCACACACTTTCTTTGGAGAGATAAGCGTGTCTTGTTTGAGACATGCGCCCATGACAAGATTTCCTTCTTTCAGCAATATATTTTCAAAAATATTTTATCCCACCAGAAATAGTTCTGGAGAGGTTCTGCTGGACGTAAAACAGACACAAACCAAAATCGAATGAATTTCTGTTGGATTTCTAGCTCTTGCACAAACAAGTATGAAGACAACTGTCTTCAGGGATGTTTTTGGAACTGCTTACTCACTCCGTTATCATATGACAGGAAACAGCCATTTTAAAATAAACTTCCATCACAAATGGGAACATGAGACGGTAGGTGTCGTGAAACTGAAACTGGCCTAAAACTTTGATGAAAGCCGAAGATTATGACGATGCTGATGTGCTGAACGCCAGGAACATCCAGCCCAAGAGAGTGTCACTGATCAAAGAAACTTACTCTAAGAGCTTCTTACTAATGCATTTACAGTTCACGTCTGATTAACATTTTCTAGTTATTCGCCTTCTGCTTTAACGATTCGCGCGTTTTATTCAAGGCCCTGAGTAAGTAGTAAAAACCTCTGAAACGTCGGTCAGTTTCTACGACACTAACGGCGCAGCATTCGCAAGATCGCGCTTATTTTGCCCGGAAATTATTCACTTCCTACTGCTTTTCGAAAGTAACAGATTGCGATTATACAGCCCTGAACAATTAAGGAAAGAAACAAACAAAGTAACAAACAAACCATTGACAATCCTTGGCATCGAAATATGCGATGCCCTTGTCAGATTGCCCACCGATGGCAAAGATCGTGTCGTCGATCACTTCTGCATTGAGATATCCTGAATAGAAGTTCATGTCAGGGATCTCGGTCCACGTGCCTTCTGCAGGATCATACTTTTCGGTACTGATCTCGTTTGATGTCTCGTTGCGTCCTCCTGCTCGCACACACACACATCCCGTAATATGTCACAGTATATAAAAATCTGCCTAAGGAAACTTATTCTGTCCCCATTCAGCGTGTCCCTTCTTGATATTTATTACTCTGTTACCTGGACACGAAATATTTGGCCTTTATGGATGCACAAGATTCGTTACCTCATTCACAAAAGCCTGCAGTTGAACCCTTCCCACATTCTCTAGTTCCATAAAACATTTTAATATTATCCTTCTTTTCACGCCTATGTATCACAAGTGGTATCTTATCTTCAACATTACCAGTTATAACTTTCTAGATGTTTGTATTTCTCGTAACTTCAATGCTTCACATTCCGACCGTCTTACCCAACGGACGTTACGATCTTAAAATTTGTAATTCCGTAAACGTAAAAAATGAATGAAATACAGCGAAGAAAATTCATTCCCTTTTGCAGTGTTAATATTAGTTCCAGGAAGGAAATTAAGGATGAAATGGCTAAAATATTATTTTCGTAATTTTAGCATCAGGAAATTGC